TCTGTTATCAAAATGGCGGCAATCACAGCAACGAATCCTTCGCAGCTTTTACCACTCGGTTTGTTTCACTTTCTTTAAAATTGCTTATCATTTACTGACATAACTTTTGTGTTTTTGTACGGGGCAGAGATGCCAATCAGTCACGTTCGTAACTCACTTTGCTTTTTTATCTAATTGAATACACCTGTGCACAAAAGATGTGGCCCTAATCATGTCAATGTGTTTTTATTTTAACTTAAATATTTAATTTCACAAATTTATACATCAATGTGTGATTGATTATATATAAACGGAAGCCAGTTCATTTAGTTAGTGTGGGCGAAAAAAATAAATCACTAATATGTTTCCCTCTGTTGGAGTTTAAAATATTGTAATTATGACTTGGGAACACATTTATCATTAACAATTTCCATTAAGATGTATTTATAAGTAAGATACTCTGAAAATAAAATTTTATGTATGAGTTACGACATTAGAGATACCGTGTCAAATGATTAAAAGCCACTCCACTCTTTACTCGCAGGATTTTTTTGTTGTTGAGTCAAATAAGCCTAAAATTAGTACTTTAAAGAATGAATTTGGTATTAACATATTACTCAATCCCACACCTAGTGTTAAAGCCAAAGAAATTTTAAATTTTATTAAACGTGGTTCGTTAAAAACTTACCTTGGCTGTATAGTTGTTGAAGTAACGTTTAACATAAATTGAATTTCTTTACAAGGTTTTACAGTTGTATATCACACTGACCACTCAAAATGTTTCCTTTAACAGCCAATGATGTGACTGTGTTTATGATGGGGATTGTGTGCTGTCTTTCAGAGCTGGTGGATAAGTGCATTGGCTCTCGGATTCACATCGTTATGAAGAACGATAAAGAGATTGTGGGAACTCTGCTTGGGTTTGACGACTTTGTCAGTATCCTTTACCTACTGGCGGTAAAAAAATAAACAAAACACTGTCAAATATTTGTGATGTTTACAATTTAGTTTTGGATTCAACTTTTTTTTTTTTTTTTTTTTTATAAATACTGCTAGCTAAAGATATAGTTACACATAAGATTTCCCTTTATTTCCCTTAGTCCGTTTATTAATCTGGGGTCGCCACAGCGGAATGACTCGCCAACTTATTTAGCATATGTTTTACGCAGCGGTTGCTCTTCCAGGGTGGAAAATGGCATAACGGCAGCAATGGTTACTGAACAACAACGTTGTGGAATCAGTCTGCCTAAAGAATGTTCATTAGCCTGTGCTTTAGTTTTAGCATTTTAATATAAGAAAATGTCCAACAAAAGAACTCTATCATATTTACAGACTCCAAATCATGCCTCCAAGTGATGGAATCTTCAGAAAATGATCATCCTTTGATTAATGATATTATAACTAAAGTTCACCATTTACAAAACCATTTTTTTTCATATTTTTTTTTTTTTTTTTTGCTGGGTTCCGGGACATGTTGGGCTTTCAGGAAACGAGCGAGCTTGATCCAGCAGCTAAGGATGCTTTGAAATAAGTTGTGAACGAATGCCAAATTCCTCTTTTAGAGATGAAATCTTTTATCAACGTTTACTTTTTAAATAAGTGGCAAGAGGAGTAGGATGCATTGAGAAATAATAAACTGTATGAAATACAACCTGAAATCTCAAACTGAATTTTTAGTCATTTTAAGACTAAATTTGATTTAGTGATTTTTACTAGATGTTGTATTGGACATGCAAGAATGATCCATGCTTTTTTTTTTTGCTCAAATGTGAAGACCCTGCTCAATATTTGCACATCACACTTTCTTTTACAGTAAAACAGATTTTACTGGATTGTCCTGCTTTTAACAATTCCAGAAGGCTTTTTTTTTTTTTTTATCAAATGATGTCTCTTCAGGACATTTTTAGCAAAATGACACCTGGAAAATAGTAAAAAAATTATAAAAAAATGTATTAGCATTTAAAGATGTATTTAATTTATGTATTCATTTGTTTTTGTTTTTTAATTGTATATTTATTATTGAAATGTTCTTGCCATGAAAATAGCCTTGCATTGCTGACATGGCATTAAATAAAAAAATACAATACACTACATCACATGTTGTCAACAGAGAAATGTAAATGTCTATGTAATGTTATCTTTGCGATGTTGTACATTTCCTTGATGCTTTACATCAGACATGGTCCTAGAGGATGTCACAGAATTGTAAGTATATTTCCTAAACAAAAATATTAAATATTTGCTTAATTGTCTTTGCACAGTGTATTCATGCATTCTCTTCTGCTTTGACTTAAAGGATAGTTCCCTCAAAAATTTTAATTGTCAACATTTACTCAACCTTCTATTGTTCTAAATGCTGTTCGAGTTTCAAACGATCAGTATCCTGTCTCCAAAATTTTAGGTGTTTGTTTTATTAGGATAAACTATCAATAAAAAAAGCACTTTCGTTCTAGAGATTAACTAAAGCTCAAGTTTTATACCATTAGACTATTTATACTGTATTCTAATTATTCTATAAACTATACTGCATAGAGAAGGCATTTTCTAATCTTTTTAGAAACTTTTTTTAAAGTATGCTTAGTTAGAAGTTCAATGGTATTAGCAAATTTTTATCACTATTGAAACCGTTTAATATTTTGTGACATTATTATTAAAGAATAATTCCAAGTATTATCATTGATTAAAAAAAAAAAAAAATCAATTGAATGTGAAGTGTACTTGAATGTGAAGTGTACACTCATGTATTCAAGATGCAAGGAAAATTGGATTATGAAGTATTTTCACAAGAATTTATAGATGTAGGTTACATTTTTGAACACTTGGTATTAAATATTTCCTCATCTCGGGCTTGTGTGTTTGTATCACAGTGAAATCACACCAGAGGGAAGAAGAATCACAAAACTGGATCAGATTCTCCTTAATGGCAATAACATCACAATGGTATGACAAATAAGTTCATCTGCAAGTAATCTCATGCATGCACCAGCAAACAATATTTGCTTTAATGTCATTTTAATTTTTTTTCATTATTTTAAAATGTAATTTTTAATGCAAGTTTATGTACATTTTCTGTTGTCAGAAGTGTTCTGTTTTGGCATTTTGTAAACTTATTTCAATTTTACATTTTTATAAACAAAAACAAAGAAGTTTGCTTCTGTCATTTTAATAATTAGCTTTTTTGCTATTCCAGTTTAATCTCATATTATTTATAATGTACCTAGGGTGTGAATTATACATTGACAAATCGGTGTCAGTGGTCCACTTTTTCAGTAATGTTAGTGTAATACAAGCTTCTGTGAACCAAATTTATATATTTAATTCAAAAACATCTAATTTATTAATCAAACTTATTGAACTTTTCTATTTTGACCTACAGTAATCTCTGATTGGCTATTTTAGTAGATGCGGGATTCTCAAACACCTATTATTTTTTTATATAAAACAAACTGATAAGTTTGCATTTCTGCACCAATAAATGGATGACCCTGAAAGATTACACTTATTTTTTTTACTTTTTAACTTCCATGTCTGCGCAGGTGTCTGTTAAAAATACAAAGGATATGTCTGATTTCACTTTGCTTTTAGATTATATGTAGATACAAACACCTGTTTTACAAGAAAACTGTGGTGTCAACTCTTCCTGCTTAAATCGGTGCTTTAGATCAGTGGTTCCTAAAGTGGGGGTCGCAGGACAATGAGGGGGGTCACTTTGCGATTTTCAAAAATCTAATTTATTTTATTAAATGATTAGAAGGACCATATTTTATTCATAACCTACTGAAGAATAAAATAGTTCTTAAAAGTAACATTTTGAACATGTTAATAATAAACATTAACAAATTAACATCCAAATAAAAAGGCATCTGCTTTATTTATTTATTTTTTGCGACCACTGGGGTGATTATATTGCATTAAAGACACAGCAATAGCGTCAAATGCATTGATTTTTATAGCCCCAGGTTGGATTTTCAGACACCTTTATGGCACCCATGCACAGTAAAAATAAATACAGGACACATCTGAACATGGAGGATGGTCTTCGAGTAGCGTTCTCCAAAATTAAAGGATGAATAGACTTGGGCCTATTGGTATGTGTGCTCCGTTGTGTGCCAGGTTTATATATTTATAACCACCTCAGAGAATATTGCGGGTCGTGAGTCACTGGTTATTTTGGGGGTTGCAGGCTGAAAAGTTTGTGAACCTCTGCTCTATATCTGCTAGATGAACATTTTCTAGTATAACTGTTTGGCTTGATCATAATAGTATGAACTATTTGAGGGGTGGCTAAATATATATTTTTATTATGTATTATTTTAATTATTGAAGATGCATATCATAACAAACTGTTTCTCATTATTTTAAGGACTGACCCCACAAATATTTTGACATGCTTCTGGGTGGATCAAGGGTTAAATAGGGCAATGGTCTCAAACTCAATTCCTGGTGGGCCGCAGCTCTGCATAGTTTAGCTCCAACCACCCCTAACTCACACCTGCTTAACAGTCTTTAGTTATCTTCTTGAACACCTTGATCAGTTGGATCAGCTGTGATTGATTAGGGTTTGAACAAAACTGTGCAGAGCGGAGACCTTCCAGAAATTGAGTTTGAGACCTATGATTTAGGGGAATCAAAGCCCCTGTACTTTTCTCTCTGATAGTACCTTGAATCAGTGTTCTGGATATAAAGCAGTAATGCTTTGAGTTAATAATTTTCTTTTATATGGAAATGTGCTTACACCTACATTATTTTAAAACATCTAAAGAGATTAATAGAAGCAAGTTTTATTGCCTGCTTCAATATAGTCACCATCAAAGGGGTAATCTGCAAGTTGTGGATTATAAAGTCTAGAGAAAGATTGGTTATCTGTTGTTTGGTCATTTGTTATAAAGGCATACATCAGCCCAAAATTACATTAACTGGACCATATTTTCATCTTTTATCTTTCCCGAAGCATGACACAAGTAAATGGCACATTAATTGAACAAAAAACACATGAGATTGCTTCATTTTAAATATAATATAACCAATTGTTTATTGTTTTCCAGCTGATTCCAGGAGGAGAAGGACCAGAAGTTTGAAAAATGTGTAGCGACTTTTCAAAAATATACATTTTAAGTTCTCGTTCTCTGAAAGAAACGTCATGTCAGGTTTTCAAGCATATGTTTGTTTTCCACATTAGTTCTTTTATTACTTAACCCATCTGAAACATTTTTGTAAACATTGTTCTATGTTACAATAAAACAAATACAATGAATTAGTGTTTGAATTAATTTTAAGTTCTAACAAAATTTGGTATGATATATTCCGAAAGTGTGGATAAAGAAACAGGATATTTTGTGAAACTGTTGCTTTTATTGTGGTTGTTTGCTTTAATAACATGTCCTGTTTGTAAATTTGTTGGTCAGTTCTGCTGATTTACTTTTTGTATATGCTGAAATAAATGCAAATGGAGCTGTACATCATCTTATCATATGTACCACAACACACTGTATGATTGACTGATTTAACTTCAGTAATGTATCTCTAGAAAGTCTGAAAACAGGTCTAAGTTGTGCTACTGCATGTTTATTTCTGTCCCGGTAAACATCCGTTTCAGTACATGGAGGGCTTCTCTTCTCCTTTAGGATTCGTCACCTTCTCCAGGTTCTTGCTGATGACGTCATACAGTTCCGCCTAAAAGCAAAAACAGCCATCTTACTCTAGAAATCACGACAAAAATAATCACAACATATGTTTTTATGTAACTTTAAATTTAATAAGTTAATCAGGTTTCAACAATTTATTTTAGATAGATATACAAACTACATTCACCGGCCACTTTATTAGGTACACCTGTCCAGCTGCTTGTTAACGGAAATTTCCAAACAGCCAATCACATTGCAGCAACTTAATGCATTTAGGCATTTAGACATGGTCAAGTTAATCTGCTGCAGTTCAAACCGAGCATCAGAATGGGGAAGAAAAGTGATTTAAGTGACTTTGAACATGGAATAGTTGTTAGAGTCAAGCGGGCTGGTCTGAGAATTTCAGAAACTGCTGATCTACTGGAATTTTCATGCACAAACATCTCTAGGGTTTACAGAGAATGGTTGGAAAAAGAAAATATCCATTGAGCGGCAGTTCTGTGGGCGCAAATGCCCTGTTGATGCCAGAGGAGAATGGACAGACTGGTTTGAACTGATAGAAAGGCAACAATAACTCAAATGCTGGTGGTGTAATGGTGTGGGGGATATTTTCTTGGCACACTTTAGGCCCATTAGTACCAATTGAGCATCGTGTCAATGCCACAACCAACCTGAGTGTTGTTGCTGACCATGTCCGTCCCTTTATGATCACAGTGTAGGACAGGGATCACCAAACTTGTTCCTGGAGGTCCGGTGTCCTGCAGATTTTAGCTCCAACCCTAATCAAACACACCTGAACAAGCTAATCAAGGTCTTACTAGGTATACTTGAAACACCCAGGCAGGTGTGTTGAGGCAAGTTGGAGGTAAACCCTGCAGGGCACCGGACCTACAGGAACGAGATTGGTGACCCCTGTTGTAGGATAACGCACTATGTTATAAAGTTTGTATCATTTCATTTCTTGTACATGAAAATGAGTTCACTCTACTCAAATGGCCTCCACAGTCACCAGAGCACCTTTGGGATGTGGAACAGGAGATTCGCATCATGGATGTGCAGCCGACAAATCTGCAGCAACTGCGTGATGCTATCATGTCAATATGGACCAAAATCTCTAAGGAGTATTTCCAGTACCTTGTTGAATGCCATGAAGCATTAACGCAGTACTGAAGGTAAAAGGGTCCAACCGGGTACTAGTAAGGTGTACCTAATAAAGTGGCCGGTGAGTGTATATTTTTACTTTATTTGATTGATGAAAATTGAAATTACTAAAAATATTCATTTGAATCAACAAAAACAGGCAGATTTTTTTTACAATGTAATCTACAGCTGTGTCCACAGTTATGTTTAATTCATATTTTCAATTTAAACCAAATAATCGAAAGACTTACATAGAAACCGCGTATATCAAGCACAATCACCCTAATCTCAGAATATGCTGCTTCATCCTTCTCATGCACTAGAGAGCGATAATCCATCTGTCAAAAAGAACAAGTGCTTCATATTACACAAAAATAAAAAGATCAAAAGTTTTCAAACATTATTTGAAGGATAAATTATTATTATCATGTATTAAAGTTACCCACAAAAGAGTTAAAAATGAAATTAAAATGTTATGTTATTAATTAATCACGATTATGTAGTTCCAATCCCCTCAGATAATCTTTACAGCACAATTTAAGATATTTTGGATGAAATCCTAGAGCTTCCTCATCCTCTATAGACAGCAACGGTCATGAGGCACTTAAAGTCCGGAAAAAGAACAAAAAACCCTAAAAACATTCAATGTTATTTCAATTGAAACTACAAAAAAATGGAAATGACTTTGTTTAAAAATGATTTTTATTCACTGTCAGGTCGGGGGGGCGGGGGGGGGGGGGGGGGGGGGGTTGCACAAAAGTGGAGATTCTTATGATTACAGTTGAACCACTTCTGAAGTCCTATGTAATGTTCTGACAATGTTTTTGGTTCCTTTTGGAATTTGAATGCCTCATGACTATTGCTGTCTATAGACTACAAGAGAACTCAAATTTCATTTAAAATATCTTAATTTGTGTTTCTAAGATGAATGAAGTTCTCAGTAGAATTTAATGACATGTGGTTGAGTAATTAATAATAAAATTTTCATTTTTGTGTTGACTAACCATTTAATATTTTATTATGGAACAATTATATACAGCAAACTTAAGATTGAATTGCAGATACTAAAATAAAAAAAAAACATTTAATGATTAAATAGGTTTGACTGCTGAGTACATTTTAATTTTAATTCTCTCTTCAGTTCACCATTAAAGATTCATATGTCTTCATTAAATAAGCTCAAACCTTTCACCTTTCAGAGTACATATAATGAAAGTGATTATTGCTCTTGGAGGAGGTGTGGTTATAACTTACACACTAAAAATGTGTCTGCTTCTTTATTCTGACACCTTTATCAGACATTTAAAAAAAATATTTTCAGAGAAGTATTTATTTATAAGTGTATGCATCGTAGATCAAAGAGTTAAATGGCAAATGGCAAAATGAAAATATGATTTTGAAATCTTACTTAACTGAAAGAAAGAAAGAAAGAAAGAAAGAAAGAAAGAAAGAAAGAAATACACCAAAAAGTTAATTTTCTCACCACATGTGTGTCTTTGGAAGCTTTGGCCACCGCATCACCCCTTTCTGAGAAGTACCTGCAGATAAAAAAATCTCATTACTAACATCACACTTTGGATTAAACTGGGACACTGTCTGTGACGGTTTTGTAACTTCAAAATAACTAAAATTCATCTTTAATAGGTACCTATTTTACCCCTTTTCCAACATTTAATATACCAGAATGTGTCTGTAAAGTTTAAGCTCTAAACACCCATGAGATTATTTATAATACATTTCAGAACATTCAAATTCTCTGCTCTAAACACAATGTTGCTGTTTTTGTGGCCTGTGCCTTTAATGCTAGTTCTTCCTGCCCAACGTTCCCATGTGCATGTCAGAAGGTGCCTCAGTCTCTGCTTCGGCTGCGTCAGAAAAACAGCACAGTGACAGACATGAAGGAAGCAATGAGTCACACACAATGTTGTTAAAAAGTTCATGCACACACACACACACAGTGCACGAATTTAACTTTGCACTGTTTTTGCACGAAAATGTGACAGGATACACATTATTATCCACTGCTGTATGTTAATGTGGATTAAAGCATCTTCTTTTATAATTTGTCACCTTAGAATTATAAGGTTCTATCTGACATTTTTGTCAAAACTGAGTTATTCACATTTTCTTATTAAGTGACAACTTAGTTACATTATATGATGTTTTTATAAGTTGTTTACATTTTAAGAGTTTCTATTTAAAAAAACAAAAACGATTTAACTACAAAGTTCAACTCTATCTTGGCTGTTTAGGGTTCTTTCTGTGAGCCAATCAGCATTTTTAATGCATGCACGAGAACCAATCAAGATCAGCTTTCTTTGTCATTTTGCCGGGCTGCTCCATTGACAGCAGGAAAGACCAGAAACACAAAATCAGAGTCGACTAAATAATGCACCACACAAAATTGAGATGTGTGTAAATGTGATGATTTAGAAGCATTTCTTGACATTGAGATTCATTCATTTTCTTTTCGGCTTAGTTATTTTATTAATCTGGGGTCGCCACAGCGGAATGAACCACCAACTTATCAGCATATGTTTTAAACAGCGGATGCCCTTTCAGCTCTAACCCATCTCTAGGAAACACCCATACACACTCAATCACACACATACACTTTGGCCAATTTTAGCTTACCCAATTCACCTGTACCACATGTCTTTGGACTTGTGGGGGAAACCGGAGCACCCGGAGAAAACCCACACTAATACAGGGAGAACATGCAAACTCCACACAGAAATGCCAAGTCAGTGAAACACTTTTCAGGGTTTATTATACTCATTTGGTCGTCATCTGTTTTTAAAGTGTTAAATTTAATAATATGCCTTGAAGGGCAAATACTTAGTTTAATTCATGGGGCATATAATTCAATAAATATAATTCAATAATTCATATAAAGCAAAAAGTGTAATAAATATTAATATATTAATTAGATACAATTAACATCTGCTCTGGAAAAAAAAAAATTAGCACAGCCTTGTGTGCTTAATTTGAACAAGACAAAATATCCTAAAACATAAAAAAATTTTTATAGAAAGCACAAATTTAACTTTCTCAAGCATCAACATATTGTTACAATCTAACTTATATATTTTTTGATTATACTTTTTGAAAAGTAATGCTTCAATGAATGATCTGCCTGATAGAACGTTATAATTCCAAGTGGAAAATTACTTTTCAGAATTAGAAGGTTCTATCTGCATTTACTGTGTTTTTTTTTTAACTTCAATTTGCAAATGTAAGAGAACTTTGATAATTTACAATTAGAGAACGCTTAGGGTCTCTGTCATGTTAATGTATGAAAGAAACTGTTTCACACATGTTGTTTGCTATATGGAATGCAAAAACTTTGAAGCTCAATATCTCAAAATCATTTAGAACGCAGATAGAACCTTGGTGACGAATTGTACTGACATGCAGCTGAAGTGATAAAGATGGTAAAATTGCTGTATCTTTACATTACAAACATGCACTGTTTTAAAAATGTTTTAAACTTGTTAAACTCATTCTTGATCACATTCGATGATGATTACTGATCACAGCGAGCTGAACATATCATTTAAACCCAATTGTTTTTAATCCCAGTTGCTTTACTGCTTAGATTTTGTGCTATATACAACAACCTATTATTGTCCTGACTTACTGATATGATTATACATGTTACTATGAAGACATGTTAATGCGTGGCTGTCAATCAATTCGGTGGGTGGGGAAACTGCACTCCTACATCACGTTGCGGTGGGCCTCAAAAAGGGAGAGATTTGGATCCTATTTTAACGTCAGGAAAAAAAAAAAAAAGAGACATATTGTCTTTATATCACCCCAATATGACCGTGGATACACTATACCTACACACAGTGCTGTCCAAACAGCTTACAAAAGATGATTTTGACTGGAGCTCTTAAGACTTATGCTACCCCTTTCCTGTTATTTAAAATGAAAAGAAAATCAGACCCTTTTTGTCACTTATGTAACAACTCTGCACAAGGTACTTATAAACATATGTTCTGGGAATGTCTCAAATCGCATTATTCTGGTCCATGGTACAAGACCTATCAGATCTAATGAAAACTCAGATCCAATGTGATCCATTACTTTTTCTCCTCATGGATGATTCATCACTCTCCTTATCCATCCACCAAATAAGGGTTCTGTTCTGCGAAAAAACACGATCCTGAAAATATGGCTGGTTTCATCTACTCCAGTTGATCTTTCTTGGAAACTCTACGTACTGGACATTTTGGAATATACCACAGCCAACTATTACTTTATTTATTATATTTGACTTTGCTTTACTTTGCTTTGTTGTATATAATTCAAAATCTAAAATATTTAATAAAAAAATGCTCATACTTGTTAATGTTGGTCTGGAATCCCTCGACTTTGGTCTTCACAGCAGTAATCCTCTCAAGGATTTTTTCCTAAAATATTAAAAGTCATTTTAGCCACTGGTTATCTTAAAATGAACAATATGAATGCACTGCAAAAAAAGCTTTTCTTCCTTAGGTTTTTTGTCTTGTTTCTAGTCCAAATATCGAGGGAAAAAAAAAAATATATATATAAATATATATATATCAACCAAGAGGCATTTTTACAAGCAAAAATGATTTTGTTTTCAGAAATAATATGCCAAAATTAAGGAGAGTTTTTTCCTTAAAACAAGCTGTACAATCTGTCAATGGGGTAAGAAACAAGATCTTGTTTTTACTTACTATAATAGCATTTTTCTTACCCCACTGGCAGATTATACAGCTTGTTTTAACAAAAAAGTCAAAATGCTATTCATCATAATATCTTTAAAACAGTTCCTCCACTGCCATCCAAAGCCACACTTCCTGAAACACGAATGCGTGCACCTTAAAGATGACAGTAAAAAACCCACTAGATCATGTCAATCGCCAGTTAGAAAACTTTACAGTACTTTATCATACTACTAATCAATTGAAAAACTCTTATATCTGTAATGTTTTCAGTTGTGTAGCAAGAGAAACTTGTCATAATGTGCAATATTTCATGCATGCAAAGATCGCTGGTCTCACTCTCTCACGCACTTTTTTTCTAAAGTGACTACTGTATGCTTAGTGGTTGGCCGACGGGGTGCAGAAATAACATTTATTACTAAGCCATTGTACAATTAGAATTTCAAATATCATATAAATACATTTAGATAATTTATTTTAATCATTTTTAACCAGCAAAAAAAAAAAAAAAAAAAAAAAATGTTTCTAAAGACAATCACCTAATGCACCTTTTATTAAGACAATCTGTTTTGCTTGTCTATAAAATGCTTCTTGAGTTAAGAATTGTATATAGTTGGACTAGAAACAAGACAAAAACTCTAAGTAAGGAACACATTTTTGGCAGTGTTTATATAAACCAGCTATCTTTAATTAGGTGTTAAAATGTAATAACCTGAATTGCAACTCCAAAGTCATTTCCATCTTCAATTTTGGGAATCAGATGAGCAATCCAGCAAGAAACCTGAGGAAAAAAGGATAAACTACTGCAAAATGACTGTATATCTGGTACAAATCTGAGAACTCTCCTAAAACCTTTTTCCCACTTACAGTGATACAGGTCTCCTTCAGACCCATTATCTCTGGTTTCACAATGTCAAGTAACTTCACAATCCTTTCATTTCCTTTGATGAAACCACACTTGGGAGCTAAAAAAAGTCACATTACAATTAATATTTCATATCTCCACAACATTTTACAATTATTATACTTTAGCATGCATACAGTACATACAGCACACAGGTTTTAATTGTGAGCATTGTGATCCACATTTCTCTGCATCTAAATTGTGAAGAACACTTATTTTTATATGCTAAGCAGGTTCCGTTATAATTGTTTTTAACCAGGTTATTAGGTGCTGACACCTTGTTAGTTTTAATTATTAATTTTTGAGTTTTATTTGAACCCACACAATGTGAGGTAAGGAAATATTGCAATGTCAAGTTTTATGCAATTTTGTTGTGCCAATAACTAAACCCTGCTCAAGTTATTTCATTATAATTACCCTGCTCAAGGTATTTTATTATAATCAGTCATTTCTCCTCTTTAAGGAATAGCTTACCCAAATATCTATATACTCTCTGTTTTTCTACTACAGGACGTTGATTGTTTGTTGCACTTTCAGTTTTCTTCAAAATATCTTAAGTGGTTTCAAATATTTATGAGTTTCTTTCTTCTTTTGAACACAAATTAAGGGTGAGTAAATAGTGGGTAATGTTTCATTTTTGGGTGAATTATCCCTTTAAGTCAACTTCCCAGACATTTAAGGTGTGTTCACGCTTGTAGTTGTCTTGATTTGTTTGGGCAAAAAAAAAAAAATCAATTTAGCCCTGGTTCAATTAACTGTCATTTTTAGGACATAAGCTTAAAATAAACAATAAAGTATTTATATTTATGTATATTGTAAGCTTGCTTTGTTAAGAACTTGTGAAGAGTTTAAAACATGAAAAAACAGATATGCTCAAGCATTCTGTGAACCTGAGATGGGTGAACCTTGCGACATCATATTCTGTTGTAACATTTATATTTCAATGAAACCCAGAGTTTCTTTGTTCAGTGTGCACCAAGTGTCAGATGACACTGTTCACACTGCTTTAAAAGAACTGGAGCACCAAATAATCACACCACTGTTTACCATTGTGCACTTGTGAGTATGCTTCACACAGGTGAATTAGCTTGACAAACAACCTGTGGGAAACACTTTTTTCTTTCCTCTCTATATGTGCCAGACTTTTTCTAATCAAAACAACAATCACGGGTGTGCTTTACACAGGTACCTGTGTAAAGCACAGGTTTACAAAGCACCTGTAAGAGACACACTCTTTTCTCATTCTCTACACACCAGACACTCTTAGTACAAAGACTCAACAAACAGATAATCAACTCAATGAATTAAGACTTGGAATGGCATCCACATGTTGCCACTCTGGTGATTGAAAGTTCTTTTTTCCCCATTTGTAAATGGCTTTTATAAAAGTGTCTGCTAAATTAATAAATGTAATACATTATGCACTATTACACTTAGCCATTTACTGTATAAATTTAATCGCTTTTCAAATGGAACACTAACATTTTTTAGGACTCATGTTTGGACTGTGTTTGCCCTGTACTATGTGCTTGTGTTGTGTTTACTTCCCCATGTGCTCCATGTTAATTTGATTCAGGTGTGTTTGGTCATGTGGTTCCTTTTTCTGTTTCCCTCCCTCGTTATCTTGTAGTATGTTCACCTGTTATTGTTATTATTTGTGCATTAAGTTCCTTTCTTCCCTTTCTGTCTGGTCTTGAATGTCTACCCTGTGTTTATCGCCACTGGCTTACATGGTTTAGGACTTGTAGAGCTGCACATCGATGAATTTAAGCTGCGGTCACACTGGGCTTTTCCTCCCATAGATTTCTATTCATATGCACGCGAATGCGTCAGACTGGAAACGCAGGGTCATGCGTTAAGTTTCGCAGGTTGCGGCTGTGCAAAGTTCAAGCTTGGTGAACTCTGACCTGCGAAATCGCATCACTTGACTGCATGAGACCAACCGAGGATCAAAACATGACCTCTCTGGACAGAAATTTTAAACATGGAGCAATTGCTCGCTTTTTTAATGCCTATTAATCTTGTTTAATTCTGTCTTTTTTCGCAACGCCGTACGACAGAATTTCGCACACACAAACTCTAGTGTGACCGCAGCTTCACACTTCAGTGTTTGGATTATCAGGAGTGAAAATAAAACCACACTGAGCTAAAGTGAACTGAACTTAAACTCTGACAACTAAACTGACATGGTTTCAATTCACTATAATCTTCTATGTGAATCTGCTTTGGCACAATTTACATTTTGAAAGTGCTATAGAAATAAAGATGAATTGAATTGTTTATACTCCTGTGCTGCATTCCTTTTTACTTCTAGAGATGCTGTTAAATTAACTACGACATATTATATATGTTGTTTTCTGACAATCTGTTTTAAGATCTGTGTGACACCCTTGTTTACTATCCAGAAATATAAAAGTTTACAGTTAACATTAAACAGTTTCCATAAATTAGCAAGCTACCAAATAGTACCTGAATATAACCCCAGTCACCACCAGGAGGTGGTATAAAAAAAATTTGCTTACACAATTCAAAATAATTGTTTTAAACTTGAGAGCTTGATAACGCCTTCCATTCCACTAGCAAAGCTGTAAGCGTTAAGTGCATAACGTTTTCAAAACTGACACTTTGTATCAGCTGAATAAGGCCCAATCCCAATTCTACCCCTTAGCCCTTCCCCTTACCCCCCTTACTAAAGTTCTCTTTAGCTTGAAGGCTAAATAGCCCTTGAAACAGATTTTTCGAAACCACACTCCTAACTAATAGGTACAAAATATGCACACAGAAGTCAGTAGATGCACGAATTAGTATTTTTTGTCAACAACATACAAACATATGTTTTAATACATTCATAACAGCATTTGTGTTTTACCGTCATGCTTTAAAAAAAAACTTTCAAAAAAAAAAAAAAAAACCCCGCTAAATTTTTCTATCTATAATCCATAATAATAACTCCTGTATAGTAGTCCCACAACATAAATTTACATCTGTCACTCGAATACCCTGTCAGAAAATTCTGGTGTCGGGGTATAACTAGGGTCTATGCATATGGCCACTGTGTAACAGTGCAAAGTACTTATTGCCACATTATATCGTTTTGATAGCATGATATCTTTGCCTTCAGTGACTTCCTGAAGATAAATACCCAAAAATAACACAATTGGAATAACTACAGCAGTTGTAATCCTCGATCTTATATGAAGATATCGCGGCAACATATGATGACGTGTGCAGGTGTTGTAATGGTTTACCAATTCTAAGGGGTAAATTTTGGAGTCCTTTCCCCTCAGACTTGGTTTCAAGGACCAAGGGAAAGGAGTGGGGGTACAGAAATAGAATTGGGATTGGGCCTAAGTGCATGATGCAGGTATTTAAAGAGTGTTTTTCTAAAGTGTATGGCATGGTTGAACAGAATAGAGCATAATTGTGCAATTTAGGACACACCAAATGATTTTGAATGTTTGGGAATCAGAAAAGACTTGTCGGTGACTAACCTTTTGTGCCCTGACAAAACTTTGATGACTGGCTTTGAACACCAGACAAATCAGACACAGGACATTGCAAATAGACTAGATCAAATTCCTACACAGATCCTCTAAATCTGCATTGTCATCTAACACCAAAAACAAAATTGTCCTTATTGAGTTCACATGACCAGCCAGATACAGCTGTGTGTGTGTTCTTGGCTATGTTTATAATGACACAGGTATTACAAAATTAACATGGTTCAACTTAAAAATTACAAAAACACATGATGCACCTACTTGCAATCATTGCAAATGAACATGCTCTTCCAGAATTAGGTTTTATAGTCACAGCAGGTGATGTAACTCAGCAAATAAAGATCCCATGGCATAGATTCCATTGTCTTACGAGACAGAATCATGCCAATAATTAGTTAAACTGCAGAAATATGGTTCTAGTAACTAGCTGCCAATAGGTAAATGCAGCTAACATTAGCTTTTAGTACGGTATTTGTTTAGTAACACATAATTTCTGCGCCAGTTTTTACATGTTTTCAGCCATTTATCTTACACGTACATCACTGGTAGTTACTATTATTCCACTACTAAAAATAGTTTTTACTTCCTGTGGTTCAAACATGCTGAAAAGTAATAGTTGGAGAAATTGTGAAACCCGTCACGTATGTGTGTGTGTGTGTACACATTACCTTTCTTCTTTTTCTCATCATCTTCATTTTTATCTGTCTCCATCTCCTATTGAAATATTTTACATACATATTGTCATAATTAATATTTGTAATATTAATTCAGAAAGCATAATTATCAATATTGAGCTGCATGCCAACCTCGTCCTCTGGGGCAGGGGGATCAGGAATGGGTATGTCCAGGGGTGCATGGAGAGATGAGAGGTCAGTGATACTAAACTCATCGCCCTAAAATCATAAAGAAATATTTTAATTCAGTTGTTGCTGAATTCAAGCTAAAACAACTCTGTTGAGCTGGAACAGGGTAATGATGAGTTCATTTAAAGACACATATAGCCTAGTGTTTATTAGCATGTAGTCACATCTGCCAAATAATCAAATGTTCGCAAAATATACCTTCAGCAGGTTGTCAAGGTGTGAGATCTTCAATGGTATGTAATTGGAGAACAGGTCTTCTGCCTGTCAACAAAAGAACTATCAGTCAACACAAACAACAGTGCAGCAACAAGACTGAATGCAGCCTATGTTTGGATTATCTGAAGTAAACTCATACCTGCTTATACAGTGACTGGCGGTAGTTTTCTATCTGGATGAAGATAAGACAAACGTTCAATTACAATTCATTTATCTTAGAAATTATTTTTCTACAAGCATCGCGCTTCAGGTAAAGTTACTTTCACTTTCACTGTCAATGAGGAAGTGTGACTCAGGATTTTTGTAACATATAAATTGAGATATTAAGCAGTTGTTACGTTCGATAACATCCATACATTCGACAAAAAGACCTTTAAAACGTCTTACAGGTTCCATACTCAATGCACAGCTTAAACAAACGGTTTTTACTTCGAGTTTGTAAACGGAGATTATATAAAGATTATAAAGATGAACTTACCCTCACTGCATTATCAGAGTTTAGCTTCAGTACATTAGCTTTAGACATAATGAAAGCAATTTGTCTTAATAAGCGAAGCAGGTCGCAAGCAGAGAGACGCAGACGTTTAGATGACAAATTTCCCTTCGCGATACTTTCGATTTCTAAACGACGCCCACTGGGTTCACGTCAGGACTCTGGGTAAGTACCGGTGAACTACCAAAAATATGCATTTCCATATTACTGTCGAAAATGTTACAACACCCATTTCTATCTGTTTTTATTTAATACAGAAATATGACAATTTTATAAGAAATAAGGAATCGTCATTCAACCAATGCCTTGATAATTAACACAAATAGCAATTAATAGCTTAAACGTTATGTTTATGTAAAAGCAGAGACAGAACACAAGATAAAGAGAAAAAATAAAATTAAAATTGAGCGCCACAAAATCCTAATGGAATATGTCCCAAACTATGCACTATTATTAATTATTATAATTATTATTCATATAGATTATTGTTATAATGGCTTCTCCTTTTCCTCAAGCACGGTCGTTTTGGGGAAAAATCAAGCCCTGCAGGCGGCAGTAATGCGTGATTTGTGCAAAAGCACGACCATGACGTCACGAAGAAGAAACAACGCCGCAGTCATCCTCAATGTCCGTTCGCTTTTATGAAGTGTTTATGAAGTAAACAGCAAAATATTTCTGTTTTAATTTGTTTGATTTAATCAGTGGATTTTTTTATTTGACTACTACAAAAGGGAAGAACAATATAAGGGTGAGTGTATTCTTACGAAGCTTTTATATGAGGAATAAAGCGTTTACTGCTAAATTAAATGTTGTCTTCGATTGACATAAAGAGCCTTGATTTGATTGCGTAGATTTTAGATTTTATTATGCCTTTTTTGTTGTGAATTCTTGGAATTTCTGCCAATTTTCTTTCATCCTCCATATAAAACGCTTGTCTAAGGGGGGTGTCTGGGATGCTGGAATTTATCCGTCGTCCTGGGCTGAATGCTGGGGAACATCCTGGTCAGATTGGCAGTCAATCTCAAGACTAACGATATATTGGACACATACACATTTCTACACACAAGCAATACTGTTTCAAATTAATCTAACCTTCACCTAGAGGAAACCCACTTCAACACAGGAAAAACATACAAAATTAACATAAACGGGCCTTTAAACGGGCAGTTGTTAAACTTGGCAAAAGATCTCCTTGATATCTAAAATAACGTGGTGTATTAGTTTTTGAGTAAATGTTTAACAAGCACCTGTTACTGTTAGTATCGGAAGAAAATATTTTCTTGACAGTTTAGACATACAAATCCAAATGACAAGTCTAAAATTAAACGTAAAACATTTTAAATAGTTAGTTTGAAGCTCTCAGCAAGAAAATGCAGGTTTTTAAAGAGCAGAGTGAAATAAAAAAGTAGTTCCACAAAAATAAAACACCAACATTGTCAGGATAAAGTTGCTAAAAAATAAAAGTTGTATTGTGTTTTCCCACTTTGCTTCAGTTGTTCAGACAACGATTCACAAAAACGACTCAAAGTCATATTATGGCTGTCATGTACATAAACATGCTGTCATAGGTTCCATAATTTGGGATTTAGTGTTGGCATGGTTTCATTTTCAAAACTGTAAATTGAAAGTGCATACATCAGCCGTTTTCCATTTAGCTGTTAACAGCCCTTTAGTAATTGCTCAAATTTGGCCTGTGTAATAATATTCTGATCTGTTTCAAACATTTAGCACATAAAAACACAAATACATAGAACTTCTAAAACAAAGTACATTATTGAAGGTTAGAGTAAAGGTTAAGTGGTAAAAAATAGTCATATATATATAGTCATATATATCATTTTTCATTAAAAAGAGTTAAACTACACAAATGTTGGGGGAATAAGAAAATGCTAAACTGAAAGTTTATTTATTTCCCCTTCAAATGTATATTCATTTCTAGAACATAGTTACTTTTCCTCATGTCAACATGCTAATAAGCGGGTGTCTATCTGTCAGAACTGAAGACAGTCAAAAAAAAAAACAAAAAAAGCAACATTTTTCTTACGATCAACCAATGATGGCATAAAGGCAGCCTTCTACTGATTGACAGACACCCTCTCATTGGCTTGTTTTAGGAAAAATACGCAACTGCGTTCAAGAATTAATAAACATTTGAAAGGAGGGAAAATAAACTTTTAGTTTGCAGTTTCTCATTTTCCCAACATTCATGTAATTTATTTAATATTTACCTGCCCACACTATTAATTCTTTAAATATTTATTTATGCAGGAGTTTATATTTTTTTACATACATTTATTTATTTATTTGCATATTTATTTATTTATTTAATGTTTAATTTATGCAGGAATTTATTTTAAATTTATTACAAATTTATTTACTCATTTATTTATATATTTGTGTATTTATTTATTTGTATGTTTCTATTATTTTATGACACAGTCCACACAATCAATCTCTGTATATTGGTGCAAGTTCATAGCTAATACAACCGGTATATAATGTTGATAGAACATCCATCTGTAAATATCACTATAGTTTTTTCTATAACTGCACTTTATAACTTATACTTGTATCCTGAACTTGCTGCTATTGCACTGCCTAAACTGGACCTAAGCTGCATTTTGTTGCATTGTACTTGTACATGTGTAATGACAGTAAAGTTGAATCTAATCTAATCTAAATGTAATGCACATAAAAACACTGACAAAAACTGTATTTACATGCAGAAAATTCCTATATTTATGTGGCTAATAGTACTTCACACTCTCCATTCATATAATTGTTTTTACTATTTTATTGATTTTTTTTTAGCTTTATCTTTTTTTTTTCTCCCAAGATGGGCGAGGTGGAGCTATCCTGTTTGGCTTATGCCAAGATGTATCTTCATGCCAGTCAGTTTCCACGCTGCAGTGTGAACGGCCTGCTGTTGTCGTCCAGTACAGCAGGGGGAGCCTTATGCATCACAGACTGTGTTCCGCTGCTCCACTCACACCTGTCTCTGGCTCCAATCACACAGCTAGCGCTTACACAGGTAACTATACTGTATTCCCAGTGGACATTGAATGTGCACACAGAGTTTCTTCATCTGCAATTGCATATGTTATTTGTAGGTTTGCTTAAAAACATGCCTTTTGACCAATACAAATGATCATTCACTGTATTAGGCATTTATTTACTAGACAACATTAGTTTTTCACTAGCTTTTGCAATTAATTTGGATACTCCTCATCTACTTATTTAAGAAAATAAACACATCTTTAAAAATATAGACCTCTTGCATATTTCAGGTACTGTTTTTTTACATTATTAGTCCTTGTATAGACACAGATAAAGAAACCAATATCTACAACTGTCTGAAAATACTTTCCCCAAAGCTTTTAAGTTGGTACCATGGTGCTGATTTACTAAACAGGGCAAATTGAGAGTGCAATCCCATTAAAGAAATGATAGCATTGAAAAATAGTGTGTGTGATCTACTGACCATTCATAAATTGGGTTTATGAATGCAGACCTTTTATTTTCAGTCAGCCAGCTCAAGCACTTCTGGTAAATTCCAGTCATGCCATTACAAAAAAACACCACATTTAAGATCTGATTTCTTTAAAAATCAATGACTATGTTTACATAGACATCAGTAGTCAAATTACTTGCCCTAATCTGAATAACACACTAATATGATTAAGGTGTTTACATGTGTTGCTTTTTGAATGTTCCTTTCATAATCTCTTTTTACATGTTATAGCACATAGATTGATTAACATCATTGTGTTACCATGCTATCAAACATTTCCTCCGGAGTTTCATGCAATTTCTGGTGTTTCATTTGTAATTTTTCAACTTTAACTGCAGTTTGGCCGTTTCACTTTCATCCAGGAACATTTCATTCATGCCCTCATGACAAATTGGCGTATTGGATGCGAGTATGAAGTAAGAACTGGTGGAAGAGTTTTGTTTTGTTTCGGAATTTGATCGCGCACACCAAATGGAAAAAACACCTTTGCATTTTGCCGTGGTTCTTTACTGTGGTAAAGGAACATATTTTACTGTGGTCCTTTACTGATTCAGTAGGAGCAGAGAATAATGTGTGAATGGAATTTTCTGTTGCAGAATGCAGTGAAAAATCCTACATGACGGTAATAGTTAAATTGTTGTGTTTACATGTCTGTACTGCACTTCAATAATGTGACTAAAATCAAATACTTCATGTCTTAATTTGATTTCTGTTTAGTTTGAATATGATTTTATTCAGATTAAGATCCTCAAAAATGGCTGTTTACATGGTAGACTCTTTAATGAAGTATTGTCTTAATTGTACTAAAATCGGATTATTGGTGTCCATGTAAATGTACTCAATTCCTGATTGATATACAATATAAATTGGGTATCAGACCAGAAAAGATGCACTGAATTAAATTCCATAGTTCCATGCCATGCCTTTAAAATATGGAAATTTACTTTACTATAGTATTTTCAATTAAGTTTTAGCACTCACCTGTTGCTTATGCTGCCACTTGTGTTTGTCTTTCTTCTTGTTTTATGCTTGAACAGCTTAATTAATGCTGAAATCTACTGGAATGAATCTACTTTAATTACATTACAACATCAATGCTGTAAAAGGAACCTTATTAAAATTAAAAATACACACATAAACCTTTCACCAGACGTTTATCCCTGCAAAAATTAGCCCATTAAAGAACACCAACACAAAAGCTAATGTGTATATTGCCTAATGCAAGGCATAAACTAGTGCAAATTTGGCTGCAAACAAGCAGAGCCAATGGTGATAATATTGACGTTATCTGCTAACAACAGCACAGCCACAAAATGTGTTACGGTTTTCTTTTTTTGGGTGGGGCATTACATAACCATGCACATACCAGTAAACTGACTACCACAGTTGCATGAATCATTTAATGAGTTTCTTTCCACGCCTATTCAGCAGTTTTAGAATGCATTACTTTAGTGCATCCTGACAGTACTTTTAATTTTTTTAATGCCGAAAGAAGGTCGGAGTTGATCCCTATATATCTTAATAGGTTATTTTTCTCACAAAATTGCAAAATTTACTCTTCCTTCTGTTGTTCCAAATCCATAAGACAAAACTAATCTTCTTGCCTGCATCTTCAGAACACAAATTAGGATACATTTAATACATTAATCATTTTTGTCCACCCTTTGAAAGTCAATTAAGTTGCATTTGAAAATTCATTTTAATGTAATGTACTTAAATGTAGGGCTGGGCAATTAATCGAAAAGTAATCAAATTCGATATTCAGAAATAATAACCGATCAAATTTATCCAGGTCAATGTTTCAAATTACTACTGGGTGGGGAGTCATGTGACCCCACTTTGTTAAGGCTAATTTATACATATTAAATTAAGATTTAAGCTTATTATATTATTCTGATATTATACTTCTGCCAAGCGCATGTGCACGGTCCAGAGCAGCCTTCGCATACCCGCACACCTCTCAAAAAAAATATAACTACATGTCACAACGACATGTAGTGCAAGCTTTGATTGGTCGGTTAGGCAGTGTTGATGAGGATTGGCAGCGCAGAAAGCTGCGTTTTAGACGATGTGTGTTTTAATTTTAGCTGTTCAGCATTAATGTTCAATAAATATTCATAGATATTGTTTTCTTCAATTATTTTAAAATGAAGTAATGCTTCTTTCCTTCAGAAATCTCTCTCTTGTAATATGTGTGCATATTTACTGTACAAAACTTGTTAGTGAACTATGAGGGCAAAAACATTAAATAAATAAATAAAATAATTGTTCATTGATTGTAATCAAGTTAAAATTTTATACTAATCTAGATTTTGATTTTAGGCCAAATCACCCAGCCCTACTTGAATGATGGAATGTAACTATTCTGTTATTAAAAATAAGTTTTCAAAGTATGCCAGATAGTATTTTTTCTTCTGGAGAAAGTCTTCTGTGTTTTAATTCTGCTAGAATAAAAGCAGATAATAATTTTTTAAAAACTATTTTAAGGTCAAAATAATTAGCCCCTTTAGGCTATCTTTTTTTCCGATAGTTTATAGAACAAACCATTGTTTTACAATAACTTGCCTTAACTGCCTATTTAAACTAATTAACCTAGTTACGCCTTTAAATGTCACTTTAAGCTGTATAGAAGTGTCTTGAAAAATACCTAGTAAAGTATTATTTACTGTCATCAGGGCAACGATAAAATAAATCAGTTATCAGAGATAAGTTTTTGAAACTATTACATTGTTGAAAAAAAATCTCTTTTTGTTAAACAGAAAACGGGGAAAAAATAAACAGGGGGGCTAATAATTCTGACTTTAACTGTGTACAAATAGAAATATCACACGAGTAGCAGTGTGTAGCTAGTAGCGAATTTGTTTTAGAAACTTCTATTAATTTAGTAGTTTACATTTATTTTTTTTTACTCCTGGAATTAGATGTTTTTAGTGGACACTTTTCAAACTAATATGACTATAATATTTCATTTACATGCCCAACAAACATGCCTGTGATTGGCCTGTGAATGCTGCGAAACACATTGTGAAGAAAAACTTTGACACACTTCACTGAGTGCTTATGTAATCTGAATGCAATGCAAACAATCAAAGAAGCATTGAAAGCAGCTGCCTATCGGCATGTCCCTGTTTATACATTTGACCCTGTTCCACTTTTTGATTCTACCAATGCTGCAGAGAGGTTGGTGTTTGACATTGTCTGCAATTCGACATTTACATGCTTCTTCAGTTGAATACAGTTGGTATTTTCTATTCTAGGTCGATGTTTGGTGTTCACAAACACAGCAGAAGATTGTGGGGTATTATCAAGCTAATGCTTGTGTGTCAGACAGCAGGTATTCCCTTAATCTTTTTTCACTTATGTTTGAGTTTCTTATTTTTTCCTCCTCATTTCACTTTCTCTTACTGCCTTTTCCAGCCCTACACCATGTGCTTTGAAAATTGCAGAGAAGATCTTCGAGCAGTGCAACAATGCTGTATTACTCATGGTAATTTAGGAAATATCACCAGGGTGCCAACATTTCTTGGGAAAAGCCATTTTGTAATTGGAAAATGTTTATGTCTTAGATTGATGGAGAAAAGATGTTTCCAGGCTGCCGCGTTCCTCCAATCGTCATGTATGAACGCAAAGACACCCGCTGGGCTCTCAAAGACAAACACACGTAAGGAAACGTCAAACAATGCGTTGATGATAATGCTACAGTGCAGTTTTTAAATGACATTTCTTTTCAATAGAATAATGCTTCGACAGTGGGAGGAAACCTGCTCTATAGTTAATCAGTTGTTCAGCTCTGGCGATCAGGCATTATTGGTGGATTTCGACAGCCATTTGGATGACATCACAAAAGATTGGACCAATCAGAAACTCAATGCCAAGATCATGGAGCTGGTCTCCCCAGCTAATGGAAATGTTTAACAATAAAGACTAAATCAGCTCATATAATAGTTTTTTTTTTCAACACAAAAGTCTAGTGTTTTTAAGATTTGAAACATTTTCTTACTTTGATCCTGTTACATCTGTCATCTTTAGTCATTTAAGCTATTGATTATTTAACATCTATCTATCTGTCTAAACATTAAATAAATATGTAATTAAACCATGTTGTTTGCTTAGTTACTGCCAGTACATTATAAGGTGCCGATAACACTGAACATGCTTTTCCGTTCTAAAAATACACGAGGCGCCCCACTCTTTTTTTATTGACAAGAGAAAAAAGAAGTGCCGTGCGCCTTTTATGTCACTAGGCAACGACTGAATCAGCTAGGTATTGTACGAGAGTGTTGCTGTTGATATTGGTATAATTTTAATATTTAATATTAATATTGCAAATCATACAGTGGCCGTTAGTAAATCATTTAAAAAAGGTGCCTCTCAACACAAAAATGCATTTGGTGTGATCAGCCCCTTAAACCAGAGGCGTGCAGGGTGCACAAGCAACACGAAAATAGCTCGCAGCCATTAGTAAAATCATTTAAAAAAGCCACATCTCAATGCGAAAAACCTGTTCGGTGTGATCAGCCCCTTAAACCCGAGGCATGCAGGGTGCACAGGCACCACGCAAAATGTTCGTGGCCATTAGTAAATTATCCAAAAAAACTGCCTCTCAACGTAAAAATGCGTTCGGTATAACTAACCCCTAAAACCCAAGGCCCGCAGGGTGCATAAGCAACAGGCAAAATTTCGTGGCCATTAGTAAATCATCCAAAAATGTGCCTCTCAATGTAAAAAAACATGTTCGGTGTGATTAGCCCCTAAAACCAGAGGCGCACAGGGTGCATATGCAACACACAAAACGTTTGTGGCCATTAGTAAATCATTCAAAAAAGGTGCCTCTCAACGAGAAAACGTGTTCGGTGTGATTAGCCCCTAAAACCCGAGGCGTGCAGGGTGCATAAGCAACACGCAAAACGTTCGTGGCCATTAGTAAATCATTCAAGAAAGCCAACTCTTAACACAAAAACACGTTCAGTGTGATCAGCCCCTAAGTGTTTTAAAATATATAGTAGGTTCTTTAAAGCCAAAAGAGACCCTATGTAATTGCTCAGAACACTTGCATACAACTGGGACAATTAATTTATAACAAAAACTGACTTGTTTATTTAAATGGAACGATAACCACAATCACGCATTGTTTAATCAAACCAGAGCCAAGGATTACTGTCATTCTTAATTTAAATACATATGTCTAGTGGTGCATCTCAATCAGCTACCTAGCTTCAGAGGTCGTGGATCAGTTGGTCGTGTACATGAATTCGGTCGCTGGTAAAGGCATGCAGGAAGCTTGCTTCACTACACATTTAGGACACTGACTGTGGCGTGAGCACAACTTTGTTGTACATAGGCATGGGACGATAACCGTTTTCAAGGTATACCGCGATTTGGAAAAGTCAACTTTTTAAAACCGTCAATATGTTCTGCTATACCATTTCTACGGTAAATGTAAGTTTATTAGTCACGTTTTGAGTTTTTTAGGACAACAGTATGTCCAGAAAAAAGATATCCAAAGATGCTGTTTTAAATTGTAATGAAATCTGTTTTTGAAACTAATGAAGACAGCAGAAGTCGAAGGCTATGTTTGACGCAGATTGACGCAGCTTTTCCTACTGCAGCAAATTTTGTTTTTACTGTTGATATTTGGTGCCAGTTAATCAGGAAGTGACTATTTTGTTCGCTTTGACTCGTTGGATGCAATGGCTGCTTTATTTGTACGTCTTTTATACGATATACCAGTTTTGGATGGAAACATAGCTAGTGATTGGTTTGAATTATTTAGCCTGATATGTTTACTGTTCCAAAATATTTTAAGTCTCTCAAAATAAAAGAGCAGTAATCACAATACCGTAAAACTGTGATATTTTTATCCAAGGTTATCATCCTGTCAAAATCTTTTGCCAGGTTGTACAACATGAAAAAAATGGAATTTATAAAAAGTAGAACTAATAAATTTTTAACAAAGTTTTAAGAAGTATATTATAGCTAAATAATTTGATTGGTTTATATACCAGCAACATTTCAACTGTTAAACAATTATAAATATTTGCTAGATTGTTTTTGTCCTCTCTGTCTATGTTTATGTTAAATATAAATAGAAAACAAATTAATACATTTTATTTGTTAAATTAATAAATAAAAAGTTATTTGACGAAAACCTCTCTGGTTTGTTATGTTCAATGATTTAGTTCTTGTGATTCATGTTTGGTGTTTCCAAACTTCCCCAACACGGTAAGCGAGTGAACGTTTCAGTGCAAATTCAGACTGTCTAATCAGTGTCTTGAACTGACTACTGAATAAGGGAGCTGATTGAGATCTAAGCACTGTAGGTCTAGGGTGGTTAAAGCCAAGTAAAATACTGGTAGGACCTATTTCTAAGTACTTCAGACGTGCTGTGGATCCTTTTATCTTCCTGTTATGACTGTAACTCCAGAGTTTTTTCTAGTCATGGTTCCACTACTGAATCTTGTCCTTTTTAGACATCAGAATTCAATATTGATATTGTAGGCACGTCAAAATACAGTGAATAATACTTAATCTTTTGTTGTGTGTAGTGCCTTTAAAGAATATTCAGATTGCTGTATTAAAAGTGGTTGTTCATCACAGCACAAAATAACAAACAACTTAATAGGAAATTTATTTTAAAACATTAAAACTTACGTAATCATCAATGTCATACGATATTGAGAAGTCTGACTATTTATACATGTTATATTTCATTGTACACTTATAAGGCTCCATTTGTTAACCTCAGTTAATTTAACTGAAGTCAACAATATAATAGCACCTGCAAAAGCATTTATTAATCATTTCTTAACAAATGTCTAATAACGCATTAAAATTAAATAATAAAAGTTTCATTAAACAAACTTAACTACTAATATAAATATTGTATTTATATATGAACTTTTATATAAATACAATAAAGCATTTACCAACATTTATTATTAAGACTTAAAGTTTGGTTATTTTTAAATTAAGTAAAAAATTAAGTAAAGTTTGGTTATTATAGCTGTTAAAACAATCTTTTTTTGCAGCTTGGTGCAATATCATGATTATACATTCCATTAAGATTTAATACTGGCAGAAGCCTATTTCTGTAATGGCTACCATCCCAATATGGCCAACATGCCAGACTCCTCAGCCATCATGGCCGCTGTGTCAGAACCTCCTGCCATTATGTTGTCCACGTCCAGACCTACATGTTCAGTTGAAGTCAGAATTATTAACCCCCCTGTTTATTTTTGTATCTAATTTTTGTTTAATGAAGAGATTTTTTTCAACACATTTCTAAACATAATAGTTTTAATAACTCATCTCTAATAACTAATTTATTTTATCTTTGCCATAATGACAGTACATACTATTTTACTAGATATTTTTCAAGACACTTGTATACAGCTCAACGTGACATATAAAGGCTTAACTAGGTTGTTTAGGTTAACTTGCCAGGTGAGGGTGATTAGGCAAGTTATTGTATAACGATGGTTTGTTCTGTAAACTATCGAAAAAATATAGCTTAAAGGGGCTAATAATTTTGACCTTAAAATGGTGTTTAAAAAATCAAAACTGCTTTTATTCAAGCTGAAATAAAACAAATAAGACTTTCTAAAGAAAAAAGATATTATCAGATATATTGTGAAATTGTCCATGCTCTGTTAAGCATCATTTTGGAAATTTTTAAAAAGGAAAAAATTCAAAGAGGGTCTAATAAATCTGATTTCAACTGTAGGTCCCAAGGTATTTGAGACGTTGAGGCATTTGGTGCCCAGTGAGGACTGTGTTATTTGTTCTGCTTTAACTTCCTTGTGGCTGTCCTCTTTGGAAATATTATGAAGCTATTGCACATGGATCTGCTTTTCAGTTTTTCCCTTCCAAAATTGTTACACTACACTTAAGTGGGTGATCATAATTAGACATAATAAGACTCGCCTGGCAAACTTTGAGGATCTATTTGTGGACTTCACCTGCCATACTCTTTAAAGGCAGAAAAAACAAAAAAAAAAACAATATACACTACCTGACAAAAGTCTTGTCGTCGATTCCTGTTGTAAGAGCAACAAATAACAACTTGACTTCAAGTTGATCAATTTAAAAAGTGGCAGAAAGTCTTTGTTTTTTTTTTACCAATACCGTACCAATCATCACAAATACTGAAGAAGACCTATTGGATTCTGTATGGACCCAAAATTCTCACAGAAATCAGTCAAGTTTGGTGAAGGAAAAATCATGATTTGGGGTTACGTTCAGTATGGGAGTGTGCAAGAGATCTGCAGAGTGGATGCCTTGAGGTATCAAGATATTTGTTCTGCCTACTACATTACAAACCTCGTGAGAGGACATTCTTGTGGCATTCTGTGGAGAGTGCTGTGGGAGTATGGGGTCAGAGGTGCTTTGTTAAGGGGTGTCTCGACCCTGTATGAACAGTGCATTGCCGGCAACATGTTTCCAGTGCATGTTGGACTCCAGCAGGGCTACCCTTTGTCACCAATTCTGTTCATAGTTTTCATGGACAGAATTTCAAAGCGCAGCCTTGGGCTGGAGGGGGTTTGGTTTGGGGACCACAGGATTTCATCTGTTATTCGCAAAAGTTGTTGTTATGTTGGCTTTATCGAACATGAACCTTTAGCATGCACTGGGGCGGTTTGCTGCTAAGTGTGACCCAGTTGGGATGAGAATCAGCACCTCCAAGTCCGAGGCCATGGCTCCACCGGAAAAAGGTGTTTTGCCATCTCCAGGTTGGAGGAAAGTCCTTACCCCAGGTGGAGGAGTTCAGGTATCTTGGGGTTTTGTTCATGAGAGAGGGAAGGATAGAATGTGATATAGACAGATGGATTGGTGCAGGGGCAGCAGTAATGCAGTTGATGTACCGTTCCATTGTGTTAAAAAAGGAGCTGAGCCGAAAGGCAAACCTCTCGATTTACCGGTCAATCTACGTTCCTACTCTCACCTATAATCATGAGCTTTGGGTCATGATCGAAAGGACAAGATCTCGCATACAAACGGACAAAATGAGTTTACTTCGCAGGTTGGCAGGGCGCAACCTTATAGGCAGGGTGAGGAGCTCTGTCACCTGGGAGGAGCTCAGAGTAGCGCTGCAAAAAA